CCTCTCTAAATTACAGAGGCTGGCTTTGAACTCATGATGCTCCTGCCTCGGCTTCCCGAGCTGCTGGGTTTACAGGCATGTGCCACCATGCCTGGTCTCCATTTCTTTCTCTCCAGATAAATTTACTGTCACGTAAATTTACTGCTCTGCTCATGTTTCCCGTTCAAGGTGAACAGTTGCAGTTTCTTGGTCCTTTAGTCTAAGTCACTGTGAACTCTGGAAAAACCAAAGACCTGTGTAAATTTGTCACACTAGATTAAAAGCTCAGAGCTGAGTCTATCCAAGAGGTTTGGTGTAACTGCATATGCAACTTGCTGAGATTTGAAAAATACAGTAGTATTGAAATAGAGTTTTGAGATGAAACGGATTCACAGCTTTTGCTGGCAGGTGGAGTCTGCACAAGCTGCAAGCCTCTGCAGCTGAGAAATATTGCAGGTCTTAATGACAGACAGGCCATGCATGCCCTTTAATGTTGCAGCAAACCCCAGCAGCTCACCTTTAATTTCTTCTTTCTGGGTTTTTGTTTCGTGAATTTGAAGATCGAACTCCACAGACAGATGAGTGAGTGTAAGAGTAGGATTTACCAAAGAATAGAAACAGGAATTGAACTCCTGCAGTGCAAGAGGGGTCCCAATACCAGGTTTTTGCCATCTGCTTGTGCTACTCTAGGGATTTATATAGCACTTGATTCATTGCTAGTGGTCCAAATTTATGCTAATTAGGGTTTGGAATTGTACTAATACTATTGGTCAATTTTTTAGTCCCAACTTTCATTCACATCTGTTCTACTTCTATTTTTTCATCAGGAAGTGGGAGGTTGACCATTGATTGCACATGCTTAGTGGGGTGTCTGGAGCTGTTTGTAGCTCTGCCTGTGGTGCACTTCTGAGCAGGCACCCAGACTCTGCAGGATGGCTGCCTTGGAGTGACAGGGTCAGCTTTCTCTAGCTCACCTCAAGGCTGGCCTACTGTGCCTCAGGGCTGCCACTCTATTGCTACATCACTTCTTGGCAGGGACCAGTAGGCCAGCTGTGGGGTTTGGCAGCTAGGGAGGCATGTCAGTGTCATTTTAAATACTACTACTTTCCTTTAGCCAAAGTTTTTTTTTTTTTTTTCCAGTGCCGGGGTTTGAAGCCAGGGCTTCATGCATGCCAGGCAACACTGAGCCAGCATCGCCTTTAGCCAGCATTTTTCAAGCAGTGTTTTGTTTGCTTGTTCTCATGGTGCTGGGAATTGAACCTAGGGCCTCATGCTTGCTAGGCAAGGATTCTACCATTTTGCTACATCCCCAGTCCAAAGCAATGTTTATTTTAAATATTAGTAGACCAGTTGTGGTGCACACTTGTAATCCCTGCTGTGTAGTTCAAGGTTAGCTTCAGCAACTTTGAGACCCTGTTTATAAATGAATCCTAAAAAGGGGCTGGAGGTAGTTCAATGGTAGCGTTCCCCTGAGTTCAACCTCCAGGTGTTCTTTTTTTCCCCCCTTAAGTAGGCCAAATATTTTGAAAAAAGTTTGTTATAGGAAATTTCTGTTTATAAGTAATTCATTAGCACATTGATCAGTTTAGTAGCTAAAAGCAGAATTCCAAGGATATTGTTTTATACCTGAGACTTAGCATCCAATTTTTGATGTCATTGTTGTTACCAGGAAATTAACCACTGAGCCACATCTCCAGCCCTTTTTACTTTTTGAGACAGGATCTCACTAAGTTCTTAGGGTCTGCCTAAATTGCTGAGGCTGGCTTTGAATTTATAATCCTCTTGCCTCAGCCTCTAGAGAGCTGCTGGGATTGCAAGTGTGTGCCACTGCACCTGGCTTGACATCCAGGTTTTTTTTGTTTTTGTTTTTGTTTTTTAACTCCAGGCATTTATTTAATGTAGATCACTTAAAAAAAATTCCTATTACATGTATGAAGAAGATACTTTATTGTATTTAAATAAATTTCTCTTGAAAGGCTTTTTCTAATTAGGAAAGTAGGATGTATTTGTTATAGAACACTTGAAATATACAGAAAATGTAAAGAATAAAAATCCCTCCTCCTCAGAAGACCTACTGATATTTTGTGGTATCTGTCTTTTAACTCTTCATAAGTGAGTATTTATATAAAACTGGAATTATAATTTTACAGGCTGCTTTTTAATTTTTAAAATTTTACTATTATTATTTGAACATCTAAATTTGATATTACATACGTCTTTGAAAATGGTAAATGGTTGCAGAATAACTGTAAGCTCATCTGCCACTTTTGATTTGACCATTTGTCGGTGTGTCTGTATGCTACAGGGGAGTGAATCCAGGGCCTTGTGCATGCTAGTATAGAGCTCTGCCACTGAGCTACTTCTCCATCGCTTTTTGTATTTTGAGACAGGTCTCACTGAATTGCCCAAGCTGGCCTTGAACTTGTGATCCCTCTGTCTCAGCCTCCCAAATAGCTGGGATTATAGGCATGTAGCACCAGCTTTCTGTAGGTTTTGAGCCATTTTTTTCTTGTTTTCACATTTATAAAGAATCAGCTATTGAGTGGCAGGTGGGAGAGGGTTGATTTTTTTTTTTTTAATATAGTCTTTTTTTTTATTAGTTGTTCAAAACATTACAAAGCTCTTGACATATTATATTTCATACATTTGATTCAAGCAGATTATGAACTCCCATTTTTACCCCATATACATATTGCAGATTCACATCGGTTACGCATCCACTTTTGAGAGGGTTGATGTTGATGAAAGGAAAAGAATTCTCTTTTCATGGATTTTATTTGTTCAATTTAATTAATTAGATACTTAGTGAGCACTTGTGTGTTAGGCTCTGTGTTAGATTCTGAGACTCAGAGTGAATCCTTTCACCTTGAAGGAGGTCTGATAATGATAACTGAGAACCTGAATTAAAGTCATAGTAGAAATGGAAATACAGAAGACAGGAAGGATTCTCTGTGATGTGTAGGTAGGAAAGTCAGTAGTTTTTTGCTGAGCGAGTGTTGGATGTGACTGAGTAGGAGACATCTAAGTCTATTCCCACATAACATTTTGGGTAACAAGGATGGACATTAGTGTAATTTATTAGTATGGGGCCACGGAGAGAAGTACAAATTTGCTTCAAGTTTTGTTTTGAGCAAAACAAATTAGAGGTGTCTGTGGAGCACTAGAATGTTGGACATTTAGATAGATGAATCAGAGAAGAGCGATTTGAACTAGAGAGATGGATCTCTGGATTACTGGTACCTAAATTGTGGTATCAGCATAGACTAGAGATCTTGTTGAACTTCCCTTGCGGGAGAATGTATATTTGAGAAGAGGTCTAAGGAGTGTCCATATAGTCATGTGTGGGGGTTATAAGGACATATTTGAAAGAGAGAACCAGAATTGGAGAAAGGATGGCATTGTATTTACTGAAATAAGAAGAAAAGAGGTATCCACAACAGTGTCATCTGCTATGTCATAGAGGTTTAAGAGGAGAACCACTGGCAAGAGTGTATTGGATTTGTCAAGGTCCTTGGTGAAAGGAGTTTCAAGGTAGGTGGAGACAGAATGAGGGAATGGCAGGTGAATTACTAGTAAGGTAACTAGTGTGGTAGCTAGAGATGGAAGGGTGGAGGTTGTTCAGATGTGGTATGAAAGAAGGGTTTTGCTTTAATAAGGATTTGAACCCATTGATGATGAGAAGCACCCATTGATGGAAAGATCAAAGTTGCTGGATGATGAAGTTGATGATAAGCAAAGATCCTGAGGACAAAGAGAAAGGAATGGGATTTAGAGCTTAGATGGGGGCGGTGCTTTTGCGGAAGAAACTTGGGATAGATGGGAGTATTTGCTAAAATGGTGGGTGTTATTGGCAGTAACTCTTGTGTTTTTCAGGACATTGGCTGAGAAGGAGGCAGATTGGATGGGGGAAGGGCATGAGGGCAGTGTCAAGATTTGAAATAACTGTGGTGGGGGAACCAAGGCCAAGAGGATGATTGTAAAATCATTGTGGTTTCATAATTAGGGGTCTTGATTTGTAGAGGTACCAGTTTGCACAGTTTCCCAATCCTGTGCCCTACCAAAAGTCCAAAGCCACTTAAAACAGGAGGAAATTTCATACTTCCCTAGAGGACCCTTCCCTGACCTCCTAAATTAAATGTCTTTCTAGTCTCTCATCACTGTTTTTGCTTTCTGGCAATCTAAGTCAGAATATAGTTTCATCTTTTATTGTCTTAGTTGTTATAAATGAAAATAACAATAATTTGAGTTATATGTATTTCCCCTAGTAATAAAATTTCAGATAGATCTGATTTTGCTTACTATTGCAGAGTGTCAGGCACCCAGTAGCCACAGGGTAAGTTTTCACTGAATTTTATTGATCAGATACAGTGGTTTTTAACCTTTTTATCTGTCACAACACAACTCTGCAATATGAACATATTTGAACCGTTATGGACCGCCTCAGTCCTCACCTGAAGAAGGATGGTGTCAAGGTAGTGCAGGGTGGCGGTTGCTAGAATCGCAGCTCTTAGAATACAAATGCCTGTGCTCATTCATCAGCCCTGTTTCTCAGAAGACTTCTGACCTTGGGCAAATTCATAATTTCCCTGTACCCCCGTGTTCTTTTCAGTGAAGTGTTACTGGTGATAGTGCCTACATCATAAGGTTGTCATGAAGATTATATGAGAAAATTCTTGTAAAGCTTATTTCAAACCACTAATAGTAAAAGTTACTACTATTAGTGGTTTGAAAAAAATCTCCTAGGTGATTTTGATAGCCCTTTTTTCTTGAGGTGCCTGACTTTACGATAAGGAATTTGCAGGGCAGAGCCTGCAAATTTGTATATGTATGATGATCTTCTTGGCCCAGTGACCAGCATCTGGAAATAAGACCATTCCTGATCCTGTAGGACTATAATCAAGTAATAGAATTGTCATGTAACTCATCATTTTTTTCACTTCCCATCTGTGGGATGAAGGCATAGTGAATGCTATCTGCTTTATGCCTGCACTAGTAAACTTGCTTCTTTGTTTCCCTTTCAGAGGAGGTGTCCAAGTTGGAGAAGCACTTGATGCTTCTCCGGCAAGAGTATGTCAAGCTGCAGAAGAAATTGGCAGAGACAGAGAAGAGATGCACTCTTTTGGCTGCACAAGCAAACAAGGAAAACAGCAGTGAGTCCTTCATCAGCCGGTTGCTGACGATAGTGGCGGACCTGTATGAGCAAGAGCAGTACAGGTGAGGTCTTGTACACAGAAGTGAGCCCTCTTGCTTTTCTCCTGGGCCACATCACAACATACTGCAACTGTTTATTTTCTTGCCAAATTTATTTCTCTCTAATCAGAATTATTAGCAAGCCTTTATTCCCTAGCATTTAAGTTCCTTGAAGCAAAGTTTTTTACTCTCTTTTTTATTGCTTCTGTCTAGTACAAAGTGGGGAATCATGGTGATAGCTTTGCTAATTTGAACAGAAATTAGCTTACATGTCTGGGAATCCGAAGGGGAGAGGTTCCTTTCTCTTCAGATGGTGAAAGTCATCCTAGATCTAAGCCATCCTAGGTCTAGTGGGCAATATAGCTTGGCTGTTGAATTGTGGTGCCATATAGCCTGTGTTCGAAACTCAGCTGGTGCTGGGCATGGTGTCACACACCTGTAATCCCAGCTACTCAGGAGGTTGAGGCAGGAGGACTGCCAGTTTTAGGCCAGCCTTGGCCAGTTAGTGAGACCCTATGTCAAAAAAAGAAGATGATGAATCAGAAGAATCCCAACTGGCCGTTTACTAGCTGTGTGATTTCAAGCCATATCACATCTCAAGTTCCTAATCTGTAAGATGGATTTACTACTTACCTAAAGGTCATTGTGAGGCTTTACTTAATAAATACATGTTAAGTACTTAGGGTAGTGCATGGCATATTGTAAGTGCCTAATTGTCAGCTGTTGTTATTAAATGAATTTTGAAGTAGATGTTAAAGAATGGATGGAATTCAGTATGTAAAGACATTGATACTATAAGTAAGGGCAGTGACTAAGAAAAGGCTCACAGAAACAGAGTTTAGAGGACAGTTTAGGGTATGTACTAACCTACAAGGAGAGCAGTAGGAGAGGTGAAAAAGGTAGGATGGATGCTCAGGTGAGGAGTGTGGACATGATCCTTCAGGAAGTACAGTAGAGTGTTTTTGAGTTTGAAGGTTTTCATAATGCAAGTGGTATTTAGGAAGATGAACCTGCTCAGGTCATATAAGTGAAACTAGAGAAAAGAGCAGGGAGAGCACTTGTGATGTCGCATGTGGTACAAATCAGAAATAATGGAGGACTAAATTGGGATGGTGGATATGGAAAAAAAAGGTGTGAGTGTGCATAGAAGAAAGGATATTGCTCTAAGGGACATAGATGATTGGACTAGGTAAGAATTGGTGATATTTCCAAATAAATTATAATACCTAAAGTAGATCAAAATCTTGAACTACTATTTACCATCTTAATCATTTCCAAAAGGAAGAAAACTCTAATACCTTTCCTCCCCTCCAAAAAGATTAGGTATTTATTCTGAGTAAAGGAAAGTTACACAAATTGAATACATGTGTAGCTTCTTGTCAAATATAGTTCATTGTCTTTCCTCCTGCTGTTTTCTATAGACAAATGAAAACTGTTTCCTGCTGGCCCAAGGGAGTCCAACATAAGTCTGTTACTGACATGTCTCTCCCATGCTTAAAGTCTTTTCTCCGTTGGCTCCCATCATTTATCTTCTCAATTACATGTCATTTGACTATATTCATTATGTTGTAGTCTTTCTAGGAGATAATGGGAATGAGAATGGGCAGATTCCACTCTGGTCACTTTTTACTTGCTCAGTTATAGTATGGTTTTATAATGCCAGTGTGTCTCCCTTCAGCTTTTAAAACCTGCCTTTTCCCTAAAGAAGGTTGAATACTTATCTTATTATCTACTATTATCTATAATTGTTTTGATTTTTTTTTTTTTTTTTTTGTGGTGCTGGGAATTGAACCTAGGGCTCTGTGCATTCAAGGCAAGCACTCTATCATCTGAGCTATATCCCAGCCCTATTATCTATAATTGAGTAAGAGGAGGGGAATGGAACCTTCATAAAGGACTGAGCCCTTGAGATGGGGATAACTAAAATTGAGAAATCAATTTTTAAAGCAAGTATCTTCTTGCCAAGATAGTAAAAAACTACCTTTGTCTCATAACCTGCATTTTGTTGAAGAACTATTATTTTTATGTGCATTTTGATAACTGTGGTAACTGATATACAGTTTGAAATTTTTTATGTTGAGAAATGTGGAAGAAACGGGTACATATCTTTTATTTTAGGTCAAGAGAAGGCTTTTGTCCCCATAAAGTAGTTAAAAATGATGGTTTTATATATTTTTTATTGGATTCAATATTTTACCAACCAAGTTTGTGGTTTTTCTCATTGAAATGTTTGAGAAACTCTAGCAAGAAACTTTATTTATATATGCTCTCCAGTGATAGCATCCTAGTTTTCATATTTTAAAGAAAATCCTCTTTTTAAATTTACTTTTCTGCAGTGTTGGGGATCAAACCCAGGGTCTTTCACATGCTAGACAGGTCCTGTGCCGCTGAGCTATACCCCCGGTTCTGATTTGTGTGTTTGAAAATTATTAATAAAATCCTTATCTTTATTTCCCTTTGGTATGTCAGACTATAAAAGATAGAAAAAAATTGACCTGATATTTATGAATAGTGTTATAGAAATATTTAGTTTTAGAATATTTTTGAGGCTTTTGGACTTATAGTTGAAACAGTACAGACAATGAAAATCCATTTAAGTTTTTAGAATCTATTTCCTTTTTTTAAAATTTTTTTTTTGATATTTTATTTTTTAGTTGTAGTTGGACACAATACCTTTATTTTGTTTATTTATTTTTATGTGCTGCTGAGGATCAAACTCAGGGCCTTGCATGTGCTAGGCAAGCATTCTACTTCTGAGCCACAACCCCAGCCCAGAATTGAATTCCTTTTTATTGTACTGGGGATTGACCTCAAAGGCACCTATATTCCTAAACCTTTTTTTACTTTTATTTTGAGACTGGGTCTCATTAAGTTGCTTAGGGTGGCCTTAAACTCATGATCCTCCTGTCTCAGCCTTCTAAGTTCACTGACTGGGATTACAGGCACATGCCACCATGTGTTTTCTAAATAGTTTGTATTTTCATTCAGTTCTTAAAACTACCATTGTATGTAATTTGAGGCGGTTTTATGTTGTTTTAAATAGAATATTAGTTCTATTTCTTCTTTATTGATGAATACATTGTTTTTACTATAACAACTTACAATAATAAATATTCTTAATCTTGTGGTCTAATGAGTTACAGCTTGGTCTTTTAATAGAACTACAACTATCAATGCTCTTATGTAATTATAAAGCTTGTTCTAGACACTATTTTGTGGGGCATAATTTATCAAGTGTTAACATGGAACCAATATTTGAGCTGGGTGAAATGGTGCATATCCATAACCCCAGCTACTCAGGAGGCAGAGTCAGGAAAATTTCATATTTGGGGCCAGCCTGTGGGATTTGGCAAGACCCTGCTTCAGGCTGGGGTTGTAGCTCAGTGGTAGAGAATTTGCCTTAGTATGTGCGAGGCACTGGATTCGATCCTCAGCACCACATAAAAGTAAATAAATAAAATAAAGGTATTGTGTCCATCTACAACTAAAAAAAAAAAAAAGGACCCTGTCTCAAAATATATATTTTTTTCCTTTTTAAAAAGGAGGGCTGGGCATGTAGCTCAGTGGTAGAGTGCTTGCCTAGCATGCATGAAGCCCTGGGTTCAATTCCTAGTACCATGAAAAATAAAAAAGAAGAAACAACAATATTCTGTTAGTCTCCTTTTATGTGGATGAGTTAATTCATGTAATAGCTTCTTTTCTTTTATTCCCCCCATGTAATAGTTTTTGTCTATTTAATTTCTAAAGATATAAATAATTTTAATAAATAATTTTAAAGGGTAATAAGAAAATAAAAAGGAATATATAAATACAAGCAGAGGATGATAATAATGAATGACTGTATTGCTGCCAATATGGCACATGCTTATGTCAGCCCAGTGGGTCATCATTGTTACTTGCCCAGGTGCATTTCTACCTTAGCATTGACATTTCAGAGGTAGGTGTAAATACCTATTTGGGAAGCTCTTTTCACATTTGGTATGTTATAAATATGGAAAAATTAAAAAAAAATAAAAGATTTCTTCTCCTCTTAAATGCTCATTAATAAATGCTCTGAATGTTTCTGCTGGGAACAGGTATTGATTTCCATATTCTTGACTGATTTGTCAAAGCTAATTTGTTCATAGTTTTTCTGTTTAACCTTGCTTGAGCATTAATATAGAGCATAGCAGCACCATAGTTTCAGAGCTGTCATCACAGGGTTTAAGCTTTCTATCTTTCTCTCCTAATGGTTTATCTTAATCTATTCTGAAAAAAAAAAAATCTATTTTATATATTAATTTAATCATCCTGCTTAACTTATAGGAGTTATATTTAAAAGCACTGCATACCATGTGAATTAAAGTCAACAGTTAGAAAACATTTCTAGCAACATATTATAAACATGATCCATTAGAATTCAGAGCTAGTGTATAGAAATAATTTTGTTGTGATTTTTTTCTTTTGCAGATGCATGTTGATCAGTCAATACCCAAGTATTTATTAGTTTTGAATTCTAGTTATATCTAATTATGATGATATTTTTCTTTTTATATCTGTGAATTTTTTTACCAGTGATCTGAAAATAAAGGTTGGAGGCAGGCACATCAGTGCTCATAAGTTTGTCCTGGCAGCCCGTAGTGACAGCTGGAGTCTGGCCAACTTGTCTTCCACTGAGGAACTGGACCTGTCAGGTGAGCCTCTGACCCATCAGGGACACAAAATTGATAGTACAAGAACTCCTGGTAGAAAGTTATGTGTGTCATCTTGAAATATTTGTGGTTTAGTGAAAGTAAAGTATTTTTCTATTCAATTGATGGAGACCAAGAACTACTTAAATATTTGGTGAATCTCCTTAGCTTGTCATTTGTGGATTCTTGTGTTTAATTCCTAATAAAAATTAAAAAAAAATTTTTTTTTAGAAGCTGTTTGACCTTTATTTTATTCATTTATTTATTTGTGGTGCTGAGAATCAAACCCAGTGCCTCACATATGCTAGGCTCTCCCACTAAGCCACAACTGCAGCCCCCTTTAATAAAAATCTTAAATATTTGAGTATCTAAAATGTTATTAGGATTCATAAAATAGGAATAGCTTTTCAGAAACTCATTTTATATAGTGATAATGACATAAACATAGAAGTATGTGCAGAAAAAACAATTCTGCCTGTATTGTAAGGAGAAAGTCCTTCAGGGTTGGTTAAAATTTTGTAGCTTGCAGAATACTTTTTCTCTTCTGAAAATATTTAACTCTGAGTAACAGTTACTATAAAGAATAACAGTATTTTTTTCTTTAAAATCAAAGGATATCATTACCATTTAGAATTTTTTTTTGGGGGGGGGGCACTGGTGATTGAACCAAGGGGCACTTGACCACTAAGCCACATGCCTAGCCCTTTTTTATTTTTAACTTTGAGATAGGGTCTCACTGTGTTGCTTAGTGCCTAGATTTTGCTGAGGCTGGCTTTGAACTTACAGTCCTCCTGCCTCAGCCTCCCAAACTCCTGGGTTTACAGGTGTGCCCCACCGCATTCAGCTAGCCTTTAGAATTATAACACCTTTGGGCCAGGTGTAGTGGTACATGCCTATAATTCCAGTGATTCAAAAGGCTGAGACAGAAGGATCAAAGATTCGAGATCAGCCTCATTACCTTAAGGAGGCCCTAAGCAATTTAGTGAGATCCTATCTCAAAAGAAAAAAAATTTTGAACAAAGACTGGGAACTTAGCTCAATGGTTGAGTGCCCCTGGGTTCAAGTCCCAGTCACCCCCGCTCAAAAAAAAAAAAAAAAAAAAAGATTAGGTTTGGGTAACTATGTGAGGTGTTAGATAGGTTAATTTATTTCAGTATAGTAATCAGTTCATACATAATGTTATACACTTTAAGTACTATTTTAAAAGAATAGTAATGGATACATTGGGCTATTTTATTCTGCTATTAATAATATGAGAATTATAATATGAGAAGAATATCCAGGCATTAAGTCCAAAAGTTAGGACACATTGGGTTGGGGGTGTAGTGTGGTGATAGAATGCTTGCTTATCATGCACGGCATATATAAATAAATATATAATCAACTAACCAAGGACATATTTGTGGAAGTGATAAGTTGTGTGACAATGCTACTGATTTATGTCTTTATTTAGAAAGTTTGCCGATTTATAAGGTTCTATTTCCATGTACCAGGATGATTATAATATTTTCCCTGCCATATGGAGCTCATTCTCTGTTGGGAACAACAGGCAATTAACATTTTAGGCCAGAATTATAAATAGAGTAATACAATTGCTAAACTATGTGGTACTAAAGAGGCTAAATTGAGCTGATAAAGAAAGTATCAGGAGCAGACTGCTGTGACCCCAGCCCACCCACCGGGCGAAAGGAACAGCAGTGGATGGCTTCGACCCTGGCTGGCCCTCCATTCTGTAGGAGCAGAGTGACCCTTGAATCCACACTGCTAGAGAGGAAGATATGTGGACAATATGAAGAAACGGGAGGAAAATGACCCAAACAAACCAAGCTGATCCAATAATAGACTGGATTCCATTGACAGCACAGTAGGTGAAATGTCAGGGAAGTAGTTCAGAATGTAATGATCTGAGAAGCAAAGAATGAATTAAGAGAGCAAATACAGGCAACAGTTGACAGTTCCAACAAAAAGATAAGAGAGGAAATACAGGTAGCAAAAGATTACTTCAAGAAAGAGAGAGAAAACTCGTGGAAAAAAAAAATCCTTGAAATAAAGGAAACAATAAACTAAATAAAAATTCAATAGAAAGCATCAACAACAGACTAGATCCCTTGGAAGACAGAACCTAAGGCAATGAGGACAAAATATATTATCTTGAAAATAAAGTTGACCACACAGTGAAGATGGTGAGAAACCATGAACAGAACCTTGAAGAATTATGGGACAACATTAAAAGACCAAATCTAAGAATTATCGGCATAGAGGAAGGCACAGAGATACAAACCAAAGGAAAGCACAATCTCTTCAATGAAATAATATCAGGACATTTCCGAAACATGAAGAATGAATTGGAAAATCAAATACAAGAGGCTTACAGGCTTACAAATGTACAAAATTATAACAGATCTACACCAAGGTATATTATAGTGAAAATGCCTAGCACAGAATAAGGATAGAATTTTAAAAGTTGCAAGAGAAAAGTTTCAGATTACATATAGGGGGAAACCAGACCATCAGAGCTAGGAGATCCTGGAACAACATATACCAAGCTCTGAAACAAAATGTATGCCAACCAAGAATCTTATATCCAGCAAAATTAAGCTTCAGATTTGTTGACCAAATAAAAACCTTCCATGATAAGCAAAAATTAAAAGAATTTTACAGCAAGAAAGCCTGCACTACAGAATATTCTCTGCAAAATATTCCATAAGGAGGAAAAAAAAAAAAAAAAAAACCATGAAAATCAGCAAAGGGAGGAACTACACTAAAGGAAAATTCAAAGGAGAAACCAAGTCAAGTTAAAAACCAAAAATAAACCAAAATGACTGGCAATATGAACCATGTCTCAATAATAACCCTGAATGTTAATGGCTTAAACTCATCAATTAAAAGACGTAGAGTGGCAGATAGGATCAAAAAAAAAAAAAAGATCCAACAATATTCTGCCTTTAAGAGACTCATCTTATAGGAAAAGACATCCACAGACTGAAGTAATCGATAATAGTTTAATTCATGAATTTTCAATTAGGGCAGGGTTCAATGGGAATGATTTGTCTCCATCCCAAGAGGATGAGCGATGGAGAATCTACTTTCAAAATGACACTCATTTTGCTACATATGGATTTCCAGTGGGACTACAAATTGGTGCAACCACTTTGGAAAGCAGTATGAAGATTCCTCAGAAAACCGGGAGTAGAAACACCATTTGACCCAGCTATCCCACTCCTCAGTATATACCCAGAGGACTTAAAACCAGCATACTATAGTGACAGCCATACCAATGTTTATAGCAGCTGAATTCACAATAGCTAAACTGTGGAACCAACCTAGATACCCATCAATAGATGAATGCATAAAGAAACCGTGGTATATATACACAATGGAGTATTACTCAGCATTAAAAGAGAGTGAAATTATGGCAGTTACAGGTAAATGCATAGGGTTGGAGAATATTATGCTAAGCGAAGTAAGTGAATCCCCAAAAAACTAAAGGCCAAATATTTTCTCTGATTAGTGGATGCTGATCTATGATGGGGGGCAGAGCATGGGAGGAATTGAGGTACTTTGGATTGGGTAAAGGGGAGGGTGGGGAGGAGTTATGAGGGTAGGAAGGATGGTGGAATGAGATGGACATCATTATCCTAGGTAATGTATGATTGCACAAATGGTGTCTGTCTACATCGTGTACAACCAGGGAATTGAAATGTTGCGCTGCATTCGTGTACGATAAATTAAAATACATTCTGCTGCCATGTACAACTAAGTAGAACAAATAAAAATAATAATAATTAAAAATTAAAAACGAAGGTATCAGAAGTGGTTAACACCTGGGCAGTGTTGTAAAGGGTAAGTAGGTATTTATCTCATGGATTTAGGGGAACTGATATTTCATGCTTCTTTACTGTGAATTAACTCTGAATCTTTGTGATAATTTCTTGGGTTTACCTTGAGGTCCAGTTGTAAGCACACAAAAGACACAAATATGCATACAGGTGTGCACATGCGAACATGGCTTGGGAAACAGTCCCTACTGGAAGGGCACCAGTCCATGTGAGTGTAATCCCAGAATATAGTTTTTTTAAAGTGTACTCTTTTTTAGCCTCGTACCTCTGACTTCATATAGAACTGATTATAAATAACTTTTTTTTTTTTTTTTTTATACCACAGATTGAACTCAGGGCACTTAACCACTAAGCCACTTTTTAATATTATAAAGCCCCCAGCCCTTTTTTATATTTTATTTAGAGGCAGGGTCTTGTCACGCTGCTTAGGGCCTCACTAAGTTGCTAAGCCTGGCTTTGAACTTGTGATTGTCTTTCCTTAGCCTCCTGAACTGCTGGGATTACAGGCATGTGCCACTGTGCCTGCCATGAGTAAGTTTTAAAATCCATTAGATCATGGGGTATTCTTTGTATAATATATGATAGGTTCTTTTTTTTTTTTTTTTGGTAGTTGGGATGGAACCCAGGGATGCACTATCACTGAGTTATATCCCCACTCATTTTTATTTTTTATTGAAATAGGGTTTTGTTATGTTGCTAGGCTGATTTCAAATTTGTGATCCTCCTGCCTCAGGCATCTGAATTGCTAGGATTACAGGTGTGTGCCATGCACCTGTCTTATGATAGGGTCTTGAGTATTTGAACACAGTTTACAAAGTCTATAAGAGAGAAAAATATATGGAAAATAATGATCCTAATTGTTTTGAGGATCAAGAAATTGGTGCTCTTCTACATTGCCAGTGACATTATAAATCTATTGAACAGTTTTAGAAAGTAATTGGGCAGCAGAACTATGAAATATTCTTACTTTTTAATTTTAACCTCATCTGACTTCTATGATACTGTCATAGGTAATTCAGATAGCTTAGATGTTAATCTTAATTCTATTTGTGGTTGTGAAATATTGACTGCAACTAAAATTAATAAGTGGAAAAACAAAATGACTCTTCTGGAACAAATATAATTACATAAGAACACAGAAAATTGCATTAAGGTATAAAAAGC